GGGGGGGGGGCAGGGGTGGAGCCAGAAGGGGCAGAAAGGGCGGGGGGTCGGAAGAAAACCAAGTCGAGGATAAAATAAAGAATACAAAAGAAAGGCGAGCGAACGCCCGGCTGAGGGGCTGATGCGTTGGTAACGAGTCACGGCGGGAGTCGCGCGCGCTTTCAATCGATCCGGCATAAATACGAGCGCGGCTTTGGCGACTCCTAATTGCGAGTAACGAGCACAACACTCGCATAATTGCTCTGGTCGTATTCACGACTTACTTTACAACAATTTTTAAAAGCGTCAATATGCGAGTGACGGTCCGAAGGGGCGTTGCTGCTGGGCCGCAGCTGCGGGCGCGGCAGCATAGGCAGGGCAGGCAGGGCGCCAACCAAGCCGCCTGCGGCCCGAGCGATACTGTCCCGCCGAGCAGCCGCGGCCGGCGGGGAGGCTACCCGAAGGGCGCTCCACTCTGCATGCTCGACGGGTTGTATACACACAGCAAGGAAAACAACAACAAAGGAAAAAATCTTAAAATAAAAACCAAAATTTAGCATCCAGTTTAGTGGCGTCGGAAACGCTCACCTTTATACTTTTTTCGTTATTTCCCCTCTTTACTGAAAAATATAGGACCAGGTTTACAGGAAAATTTTCCAAGCTTTTTTGTAGTAAAATTACAGTATGAAATAGTAAATGTGCAAGCACTTTGCATCGATGTGGAATTGATCGCCATGCAAGAATGGGTTGTCGCAAATTTACAACATAATATATTGTAAATAAATAAAAATTACAACAAATGTTGTAATTTTACGAGGATAGTTTCCCTTTCGCAGCAGACTACTTACCCTGGCATGGTGGTGGCGGGCTGGTCGGCTGGCTGCTGCTCCTGGTCCTGACCCCCGATGTTGGCGGGGCGGCGCAGTGCGGTGACGGTGGCCACCGTGTGCTTGGGGTTCATGTCCACGCTTACGTTCCACTGGTCCGAGCTCGCCTCGGCGCCGAGGATGCGCAGGCCAGGCCTCGCGCGCGCCCTGCGAACAGAGAGAGCACAAAAACACACCGAGTCAGAGAGAGAGAGAGGCATGACTAAAGAGACAACAACTATTACGAAACTTACATAAAAATGTGAGTAACGGGGCAAAGAGTGTAAAGGCGGTTAGTGGGCAGGCGGGCGGCACGGTCGCGCTCTATGGTTGGCGGGGAGGAGGAGGCGGAGGAGCAGGAGGAGGAGGAGTCATGTGTTTGTGGAGGTGTTTTGCTCGCCTTGGGAGCGGGGCTCGGCCGGTGCGGCGGCGGGGACGGCCCGCAGCCAGGGCGGAGCCAGGGCGGCATCCCCGCTCCACAAACACATAGTGTGTGTTTACGGGCCGGTTTACGGAGCCGGCAGGGCAGGGCGGGCCCGGGCCGGCGGCACGGCCAAGGGACGGCGCCATCATCTCTGGGACCGGACCGTCCCGGGCACGGCCGGCCACGGCTCTCGAGAGCTATATCCACACAGGAAAACCAAAGTGTGTGAATATGCCGCACACTTGTGGCCGTGTGATTTTTTTTTTATTTCTGCAAGTGTGTGACATTCGAAGGGGAATTCACACCTTCACCGTACCAAGTGTGCGAATTTAAATTCACACACCTGAAGTGAGCGGAATTCGCACAAGGGTTTCCAACTAATGCAATAACAAGAAGGCCGCGACTTGCTTTTCAATTTCACTGTGTAACTTTTTCGTGGCTGTGACATTTCCTCGCCGTCCCACTATGTCCAACTTATTTTTCTGATACAGCCCCCAGGTTAGCTTATCTTGATACAATAGATAGTAACAACTTTGCTGAATGCAAGGGATTGGGATTCTGCTAATCGTTATAAAAGCATACTTTTCCCGGGAGCACGTTGTTCTCGGCATTGTCGGAGGGCCTGACTGACTCTGCGAGTCAGCCGCGTGTTCGCATAGTGGAAAACTCATTCGCTCGACAGCTCTGTGCCGCCCCCCCCCCCCCTTCTTCTCGCCTGCTCCCCGACGCGAACAAAGCCTTGTGCAACCCGTCCCCGCGCCTGGCATACGGACGTGCAAACTGCGTCCCATCCCCCGCCTCCCTGCCTGCAGTCCTAGGCTCCACAACAACAGTCTGCGTGCCTCAATATTTTAAGGTTTTCGCGAGCGACACGCCCACCGCGTGTTCGACTTCGGCCGCCCGCAGATAAAATGGAAAAGAGGGAACCCCGAGAAATGCGCTAACACATCCCGAGCGAACGCATGGTCGGCGGTCAACGCGGTGATGCCTCTGGCCGTAGCTCCAGCCTGGGCCTGGAGTAGTGCTGTGCGAATCAAGTTTTTTGATTCGAATCGAATCTCTTCAAATTTTCTTCGAATCGAATCTTTCTAAATTCGCGAAAGAATCGAATCGAATCAAATTTTGCCCCTCCCCCCTTCCTTAAATTCTCCCGATGAAAAAAATGACGTCGTGTCTGTGCTTCGTATGAAAAACCTGCATCTCATTGCCAGGGCGCTCTCACGCGGCTCGTGCGCTCTTTTTTAAAGTTGCATACTTAACCGGGAAGATTCGGTGGCGAATCGTGACCGATTCGAAATTTCGAACCTTTCGGGGTCGAATCGTTGTGATTCGGCTTTGACTCGGGCCCGATTCGATTCGATTTTGAACATTCGCTCAGCACTAGCCTGGAGCACCAGCCTTCCATACCCACAACGTAAGAGCCGCTCAGTGCTTGTTAGGCTTCGCGTGCGCTTAAGCGCGAACGCGAAAGCCTTTAGGTCTCGTCAGGATGTTTCCCGGTCAGATTTTCGTGTACCCCCTGAGTCATCAGCATCCACCGGCCAGGCGGGCGAGGCAGCGAGCGAGGCAGTGGCTCGGCGCGGGACAGGATGGGGGGGAGGGGGGGGCTTTTACGACTACTCGAGCGCTGTGCGGGCGGGTGTCGGGTTCAGCTTATCGCCATGAAGTGACCCTTCTTCTCTCTCACCTAAACGAGTATTAAAATTAATGTCGTATGGCGATAAATGTGTGGCTCACTCGAGCTCACTACATACTCCCTGTTTTTCTAAGATCAACAAAATTTAAATGGAATTTGTAGGCCGAAGATTAGCTT